TCCTAGAATTGTTAAATATTGTTTCAACTTTACACGAAAAGATCAGTGATTGAAAGCTTTCAAACAAACTAGTGAGTGAGAGCACCAAATATTTATATCCACACTATTGAGAGACATCATCATAACATATGTGTTTGCATTAATTAATTCTTGAAATAGTTGCTTTTGCATGAAAAATTTGAAAAGGTCAAGGAAATTTTTGTTTATATTAAAAATCCCTGTGAGCCTAGAGCCAGATTAGTAACCATGTTGCAAAATTTTTCCCTTGATAAACCCTTTTGAGCTTTATATACATTTTTTTCTCTAACCCTGAAACCCTTACAATTTGTCAAATCCCCACCTGGACCAAACCAAAAGAGCACATTGAAAATGAAGTGGGTTAAGAATTAGGGAAGTGAAACTCATTTAGGGAAGGGAAAGGATAAAATTCGGTACATCAAAACATAGGAGCCACCTCTCTTAAGTACTCAAGAAGTTGCTCAAATAGGTTCTCTAATACCATATTAATTAAAAAAAAATTGAAAGATAGGGGTTCACCAATATGAATTACAGGGAAAAGTAGAGTTCTAAAAGGAAGAAATTGGGAGTAATAATGTGGATAGAGTTATCAAAAGAAAGAAAGGGGTCATGGTTCAATGGTACAAATATTTTTCAATTTCAATTTGTTCTTTGGAGTTTAGAACTTCGTGCATCCAGAAAAACCATGTAGTTCTTCATTAGCCAAGCCCCATTACAACCATTTCAAGACCTTGTGATCCTCTATTTTTCTTTCAAGAGTGATAATGGAAAGAAGATATCAATGCTTATGTTCATAGAAATGATGTGTGCTTGAGAGAAACACTCACCTAGAGAGAAACACTGTGAGAATTAATTTTAAACATTGATCCATAGTGTTCAAGTGATGATATGTCTTGTAATTCTTTGGTTGCACGTAATTGAGTATGTGGGTAATTCAAGTGAGTAGGAATCAAGTTGGGAAAAGGATGAGAGATGTGCTCTAAAATTATTTTTGCGGTAACTAGAACTTGAGTTATGATAATCTGCATCCATGTACTCGCATTATCCTGTGTTTATTGAAATTTCCTTGCTTGAGGACAAGCAAAGGTCTAAGCCTGGGAGATTTTTATGCATGTTTATTTCACCTCATATTTATAAATTAAATTAGATCAATTGCATGCATTCTTGTAGCATTTGAACAATATTTTCATGCATTACTGTTGCATTTAACTTTTCGTGTAGTTTCTTTGTTTTGTTGAGAAACAGGTGCATTTAGAACAAATTTTGTGTGCTTGTGTGGCCGATGTCATTCATAAACTGACCATGGAATTCCCTTTTTGCTATTGGGCTTGGGCTGAAAAGGAAAAAGAAAGGAGTAGTTAGAAAAAAAAAAGGAAAAGGGCTGACGTGGAAAGGAGGAGAGGAGGCAAGAAGGATAACAGATGAGAAGCAGTTTTTAGAGTTTTAATTTCTGTATGAAAGGCTAAACTTTTCTTTTGTTAGAGGGTTGATGTAGTATTCTGTAAGACAGATTCTAAACCTATTTAATTTGATACAGTGTAATTTTATTTACTCCAGTATCTTATCTATGATTTTTTATGTTCAATTTTAAGCAGTTATATTTGAAAAAATTGACACTGTCTATGTTGTTAGATAAGATAAGTTGGGTTTTTGTTTAATTGGAAAATTATGCAAACTTAACTAGTTTTTGTGGAGGAGATTATTAATTATTCAAGTTTCAGTGAATTTTTCTTATTCCAATGAATTGAGAAATTAAAAGTTCAATGAATAATTTTGCTTACCTAAGTTATTAGGAAATAAATAACACTTCTAACTCCGGTGAGTAAATTTAATTCTTGTATCAATTAAATAGGCTAGGAATTTGTAAGAAAGAATATGAAATTAATCCTTTAACATATATTTTACTATAAAAAAAAATTCTATTGTCATTCTTTTATTTTTTAATTATTTAAATTTTGATTACTCAAACTTAAATAAAATTAATGATCTAATATTTAGTAAATATTAAATCCCTAAAGATAATAACGTGGTTACTTTTATAACAATTGATCCATTTACTAAATATACATCAAGTACATTTAACTTTCAAAATATATAATATTAATTTTAAATATAAAAGTAAGAAAAAAAAATAGAACCCTATAATTGTCCTGTTACTGTTTTGAATCTTGTATTGTAGCATATATTAGCTATGTTTGAGGTACATAAAAATATAATAATTTTTGTTTTTATGTTTTGAAAAAAAGTAAGATTTTTTTTAATGTAATCATCTTTTCAATACGTATCTGTTTGAAGTCTCACGTGTTATTTATAATCATAATTGATTTTATGCTAGAACGTTAATACTATCATAAACTTGTCATTAAAAATATGCTCTTAGGATATAAATATTTTGTTTAATTCTTTAATTAATGTCACGACGAGATTAAAACACGCTATGGTAAATATTGTAAGATTTTTTTTTTTTTCAATAAACAGAAACAAACGTCACTATATAATTTGTAGAAACTAACATTAAATATATTCAAACCTGAAAAAAAGGTAAAAACGTAAAACATTGATGTGACACGATGATTGAGTGAAAAAATTAACAGTAACATCAACATATTTGAGAATCTCAATATTTTTGTTTTACTTGAGAGAACCTCTTTCCTAACCCTTGGCAATCAAAATGTCCAAGTTATTGTCACCTAATTTGCATTCTGTATACTTTATTACCTTTATGTTTAATTGTTTAATTTTGAACTACATATTAATGACTATACAAAAATTGTAAAAAAATAGGGAACAAATGTTGAAAAAAATAAAAATAGAAGACTGAACTATAACCATTATATTATAAGACTAAAATAGATTTAAGTTAACCTATATTAATATATTTTTATTTATTTTTTACTGGCGTGACATTTGGTAAGAAATTATGATATTAGGGAATAAATAAGTGTGTGAGATAATTTATTAATTTTAACTATTTTAATATATATATATATATATATATATATATATATATCATATTAAAATATTTATTTTCTCAATGGATTAAATAGTTAAATTATATTAACTTTTTTATCATTTGATATTTTAATCTACGTAAGTATTGACCATCAATCGAATTTGAATATCACATATTTAGTTTCTAACTAAAACACATCTCAAATATTATCTCATACTGATACTTTTTTTAAATTATTATTTCTTATCACACCATTATTCATACAATATGTAATATTTTCCAATCTTTTCATTCTCATCATTAACATACATTAACTCGTGATTTATATATTTTAAATTACATAAAATACAAAAGAACAAATATAAAATAAAATTTTAGACACTACACACATAATAGAAACATAACTTAACTTGAAGGATAATTTTTTTTTACTTGAACAACAATTCAAAAAATTTATTGTTTTCTTGATTTGATTTTCACTTGACTTAAAATGTTTCAATTAAGTTAAAGTGACTTTGATAATTTTATAATAACGTTATTGAAAATGTAAATATTATTAAAAACATATTTTATTAATTTTTATTTTTTAAACTAATAAAATAGAATAAAATAAAAATAATGAATAGGCAAGTGGTAAACATGAGAATGAGAATGTTAGGGGTTTCACTGACCAATAAGATAAATGAAGAAAGCAGCAACAATTGCAACTGTGTTGAATATACCACTCGCAACTACACCAAGTAAAAAATGTTAAACAATTACTTCATAAGTACCATGGTTATCGTGGTGAAACTTCTTATGAGTAAAATAGGTATTGACTCTTTTTTCATTTTTAATATATATATATATATATATATATATATATATATATATATATACTTGGATAATGCAGAGTTTTTAATGAACCTAAGATAGGCTTTGATTTTAAAAGGAGTGAAAGACTGCAATGAGATAATAATAGTGATGTCTTTTAATAACAAAGAAAATGGAAAATTATAATTTCATGTTTTGGAATCTCAGTTAGAGATTTAAAACTTGGAATTCCTGCACCCATCCACTTCCTCTGGGCCTAAGCCCAATAATAACTTAAACTTATTGTATGTGTTAAAAAACAATGATGGAAAGAGTGCACTTTTAGACATGTTTGATTATGTAAGTTGATTAATTAAAGTAACTTTTCTGAGCTTACATAATTATGTTGTTTAAATCTTGAATGAGACACACCACAATGGTTAGAATTTATTATCCCAACTAATACTTTATTTTTCAAGTTATATATTGGTTAATATGAAAAAACTGTTAAAACAATCTAACACATTATTTATTCTTAACTATTATATATATAAGAATTGGTCTCTATTAATGTAAAACAGTGCTATCCTTTCAAAAAGACGTCGTCATTATATATTATTTTAATGTAACATCCTTATCCTTAAAAAAATTAAATAGATTGATACTCTCCCCTTGATAAATTATTTATTATTTTATGTTGAAATCATTCTTAAATAATTTATATTAATATTTTGATCTGTAGCATGTAAAAATAACACATTAATAAACAAAGTAATATTATCTTAATAAATTAGTTTTAATAAATTTCATATGCTGTTATTATTAATCTATAAAAAAATCTAATTTGTTTAGAAAAATATCAGAAAGTATATTCATATTCTTGATTTATACAACAGATTAAACAACATCTATTTTATTTTTTATAAAAAATTGTTGTGTGGTAATTAAACCTGAAAAAGTTTGTGATGCAAGATACGACACTTTTGCATTGCATGACATAGTTAAGTTGAAATAGCTTTTATTGGAGTGTCATCCCTCTCAGTTTGTTGTGTATCAACAATTTTTGACCGTTAATAAATTTGATGAAATTAGACTTTAAAAAGTCTAAAACACTAGTAATACTATTATTATAGTCACTTTTGAAAAAGAAAAAAAAATGTTGTATATTAGTAATTGGTATGTTAATTAAGTATGGTTTGAAAGAGACAAATAGACTTTGTTGCAAGAAGAAGATAATATGCAAAATGAAACGCGTGAAGAAAGGTATTACCGACACCCTGCATCCACCGATTCTCTCCCTCACTCTCACACACAGACACTCATCGATTCACCGCAGCAGATGAAGCACCAAACATGGCCTCGCGCCTCTCCTTCGCCTTTCTCCTCCCTCCCTTTCTCCAACGCTACAGCTCCCCAATTCTCCACCCGTTCCACGCGCCCTCCGCCGTCCCCTCCCGCCGCTGACTTCACGGCGCTCCCATACGACGTGCTGGCGAAGATCGCCGCCTCCTTCGACCACCCCAACCTCCGCGCGGCGTCGCTCGTGTGTCGTGCGTGGTGTGAGGCGCTGCGGCCGCTGCGGGAGGCCATGGTGATGCTCCGCTGGGGGAAACGCTTCAAGCACGGCCGCCGCGGCGTCCGACCCAACGCCGACAAGGCCCTCGAGTCGTTCATGAAAGCCGCCGCGCGTGGCTCCGCCCTCGCCATGGTCGACGCCGGCCTCATTTACTGGGAGAGAGGGGAGAAGCCCAAGGCTATGGAATTGTATCTCAGGGCTGCGGAACTCGGAAACCCTTCTGCGCAGTGCAATTTGGGAATTTCCTATCTCCAAGGTTTTCATTTCATTAATACCCTAATTTTTAACTGTTAGTGTTTGAAACGCCATGTTCAAAAACTGTATGACATAAAATAATGTATATAAATGAAGAGAATGTTTCTTGTAGGAGAGAATGGAAGGGAATCTTCCTAATCATATGCACCTTTCGTATTTTGTGTGTTTATTGGTATTTTAAGTTGTGTCTAGTATCCTCGTTATTCTGTCTCCCTGCGCTTAGGATAAAAACTATTTTTTCCTTCGTCTGTGATATTCATGGCTAGAAATGTCTTTAATAATTTGAAAAAATATAAAAGTGTGCATATTTGCATGTGTAGATATTCCTTTGTGAATATTTAATGAATATATATACATACATTATGCTGATAATTTGTGTTCTGAAAAAAGTGTATCTATGCTGTGCAGTTGAACCTCCGAACACTGAACAAGCTTTAAAATGGTTATATAAAGCATCTGTGTGTGGGAATGTTCGTGCTCAGTACCAGCTTGCGCTTTGTCTGCATAGAGGTGGTGGGAGGGTCCGTAGCAACATGAAAGAAGCTGTTGGTGCTCTATTCTTATTCTGCCCTCTTGATTTTAAGGGTTACATATTCTTTGATCTTTATGTTTTTCGTCGCATCTGATTTTGTTTTCTCTATTTCAAAGATTGATTAATTAGTTCTCAAAATTAAAAATATACGTGAATTTAGTCCTTCTATATGACTCAAACTATTATTAACTGTTAAATTGGAGTATGAAAAATAATTAAAATTACAATATGTAAATTTAGTCATTTTATTAACTTTGTAAAGGGAAAAAACTATCACTAAATGTTAAATTTAAGTATAAAAATGAACTAAAATCACATTTTCAAAAGTTGTAAGGTTGAATTCATTAATTTAAAAATACAAGGAGCAAGTTTCAAAAAAAGTACAGAACTAAAATCATATATTTCCTAACTTTTGATTATGATTTGTGAATGAACATGTACTTTTAGGAGGGGTTAAAGCCTGGGTAATCTGTTTGGTTCTTGGTTTGTTAATTGGCTTATAATGTTGGGTGTTTCTGGTTCTTTCTTATCGTGATGTGTGACGTGATCTGATCTTCGCTTTTGACAGGCAAAATGGTATAAGAAAGCTGCAGAGGGTGGGTATGTCCGTGCTATGTATAATATCTCATTGTGCTTCTCCATTGGGGAAGGACTGTCACGTAATCATCAACTAGCTAGAAAATGGATGAAGCGCGCTGCAGATCGTGGTCATAGTAAAGCTCAATTTGAGCATGGACTTGCGCTCTTTTCTGTGAGTTTCTATTCCTTTATGCTTCTCCTTTGTGCTTTATTAAATGTTTGAGAGAATAAATGGAAAACTCATAAGATTAATTCAAGTTTTTTGAATTTCAATTTCTTAGACTTGTTAGGATAATTTAATTTCTACTACGTACAATTTTTTCTTAAAATATATATTCAAAAATTTAAATTTTAATATTGAACTTTATAAAAATAACTATTAGCCAATATTTAATATTTTAAAATTATATAATATTTAATAATTCAAAAATACAAATATTGACCCATTTTATGTCATTATTGTCAATATTGATAAATGAAGAGAAATGTAGCTGAAAGTGGAGGAAAAAAGAGAGATGGGGGAGAGAAGGGACATAGGAGCAGAAAGAGAGGGAGAGAACAAAGAGATAGAAGTGAAGAGAGTGAAGAGAGGGAGAGGAAAGAGATAAAAAAGGATAGAGAAGATAAAGAGGAAAGAAACAACACATAGAAAGAGGAGACAAAAAAGAACATGGGAAATTTTAAATTCTTACTATTTAATTAGAACTTGAAATTAATTTCTAGTAATCAAAATACTTTTATTAATCTTTTTTATAATTTCAATTTCTTTGTGAATTCTCTATCCAAACTATGTCACTTCAAAACATTGTAAAGTCTCTGACAAAAATTGAATTATTCTCTGAGAATGCCTCGTTCAAACACATCAATTTATTTGGAAATTTTCCCGCGTTAACAACAGCAGGAAATCATGATATTGAATCTTCTATTTTGCCACATTTATTTGTTTCCAAAGATTTTTAATGAAACTGAAGCATTTGCTATATGTTTTTCTATGACTTTGGCTATTGTCTTGATTACGTATTGTCAGTGTCGCATGGTTGCGTTCTCTATGTTGTAGACATCTGTTCTGCTAGTTTTTAAGTCCATGACAAATGACAGTAGATATAGACTTACACATACACTCATGCAAAATGTGATTTTACACCTGCACAGTGATTATTATTTGTTAGAGGCTTTATTTCAATCTGGCAGTCCGATATTTGCTCTTTCAGTTGTAGTTCCACCTGTTTATCAGTTGCTTCATTTTTTATGTTTCTTGGTTCATTCTTATGTTCTTGTGTGGAATATGTTTATACTATTAAAATAGCAATCAACAATGACTAGAAATATTGGTAGGATTATGGTCCTGATAATTGTAACTAAAGTGTCGGTGGACAATATTTGTTCAGGAGGGAGACATGATGAAGGCTGTGGTGTACTTGGAACTTGCTACTCGAGCTGGTGAAAAAGGTGCGGCTCATGTCAAGAATGCAGTTCTTCATCGGCTTTCATCAGCTTCACGCGATCATGCCATGCATCTAGCTGACAGTTGGCGTGCCTTGCGATCAGTTTGAGCCAACTCCTTATGTTGGCTTGTGAGAAAGAAATTGCATGGCCTTAGTCAATGCCATCGTGAGAGTGTAGCCAACAAAGAATGCCTAAGCGTCAAACAAGGAAAGGATGAGGAGCTAACTAAGAAACTGTCTTCGCATACTAATTCTGACTACAGTGGTTTTTTCCTATAGTATAAACAAAAGTAGTTGGTGGGCGTTTGTAAAACTAGTTGACTCCTTTGTAAAACGCCGTCTTGACTATTTGAAAGTTCCTCTTCAGTTCCCCTGAGACCTGTGCAGGTAGTGTGTGGCGGGCATTTATTGTCATAAATGACCATCAAGAAAATTGCAACTTCATAATACCCCATATTATACGTTGGATAAATAGATTATAACGTAGTAACAAGCTGTCTGTCCGAACCACTGCTGTGGATTATATCATCTAAGTAGCAAACTTTTTATTTTTTCCGACATGAAATAATAGGTTACCAGTTTGTCCCTGGCGTGTTATTTTCATCCATTTTGGCGGATCAAATTTGCCTTGAATGCTAAATTTTTTTTGGGGTCTGTTGTTTAGTCACGAGGTTCGTGTAGACAAGTGCTTCGGTGGCGAATATGTTAAGGACGTGAAGAAAAGTATGGTTCATTTTGCCTCTAGACGCCTGACTAGAGATGATATCATGCAGACTAGTTATTTTAGATTCGGAGCCTTTTACTCGGGGAAAGACAGAATAAACAAACAAAAGCACTTTGTAACACAACAGGTCTCCCGTTTACAAATTATAAACAGCGCAAAATAAACCAAACGATCAGCTCAAAACTCAATCCTTTGTGGTCGTTCCAGCAAGAACTCAACGGTCTACATGTGTGCAGAACTGGGGATCGATCTAATGAGGAGAAATTTGGTAAATTGAGGTGTTAAATATTATTTGGATATATGAAATACTTGCTTTTCAAGCACAGTTACATGAAATACTAGCTTAAATACATTTTATTTTACACACTCCTTATTATCAAGTGAAACTCATTAAAATCATACTCTATCAAGTGAATTTTACTTTCTATTTAACGAGTGCTACATAGATTTCACTCAGTAACATGTAAAAAAAGATAATTTACAATGTCTTGCCAGTATCCAGTATTCCTCTACCATGATAGCATATCTCATGGAAACAAATCCACAGAAAGCACAGGCCTGCTGCAAATTAATTCTTAACCCCACCATATATTGCTTTTCACTCAGTACAGTCTGCATAAAAACCATGATGTGATATAGCACCATATAAAAGTGGACATGAGGGACAATGACTAATAAGCTCTCGCAAAAAGTCAGTTCTTTCAATTAATTCCAAAGTGATGAACAAAGCACATTTCAATTAACAAAATCGTGCGGTCGAAGTATGAATCATTGTTCAAGACATGAGATCAGATGTAAACTGTTGAACATACTTCCAACAGCAAAGCCACTTTCAATTAAAGAAGAATCAAACCTCCTGCAATTCTATCCTTTTATAAGAATCTCCATTATCACAAAAGCAATGTAGAGTACATGCTTAATAAACAAATAAGTACACATGTAATAAAATAAATGATTAAACGTTAATCATACAATATAAATCTCTGCACAACTGACACCCCATTGACTAGTTTTATGGGGAGAAAAAGGAAAAGAAAAAACATTCTAAGCTAAAGAACTAGTGTATTTTTTTAAGTATGCTTTGTTCCTATAAAGCCTCTTATTCCCAGAGAATTGGCCAGATGCACCTTACTCAACACTATAGTGATGAGCCGACAAAAACGCAAGGTCCGCAAACAAGCTAAATTTGTGGTCAAGGCAAATATGACATCCTTTGAGAATTCATTCCTGCATGATACAAATTGAGGTGGATTATTGCCCTGGAGACCAAATCCTTCATATGCTGAGGAAGAACTGTTCTGTCTGCACCCTCTAGCACTGTCAACACCCTTGCTTGTTCCAAGGACTCACTGTTGCCAGCATGCAGTGCAAGGTAGCAAAGAAGAGTTAGTCCGTGGTGCATCTGGGCAACTTCATTACTCCTAAGCAGTCTCATCAGGGCCGGGATGCCGTTGAATTCAATTATCTTCTTAGAATGCTCCACATGTAGAAAATTATCCGGAGAAGCAAATTTGGTAAGAGCAACTGCTGCCGCATCTGCTACTTCTACATTTCTATTACTCATCTGTGCCACTAGAGGTTCAATTACCCGAGTCTCTCTAGCGGGAAACGTCCTAGCCAACGCACCAATGGACTTCATCGCTGGAATTTGCAATGCCGGGCTATCCACCTCTGTAATTATCCTCAGCAGCTGTTCCACAACAGTCTTAGCAGCCGGAGAATTGGTCTTAAACGCTGCTCGCCGAAGGTCAGCATTGGATTCAGCAGCTGCAGTTACCTCCATTATCGTCATCAAGCAATTAAACTGCAGCTCTCCTTGCTCATTCTGAACAATCTTAGCCAAACAAAGCATCCCTTTGGTCTCAGTTATCTTCCTACTGTTGGTCACACTCCCTTGCGCAAGCATCCACAAAGCCTCAGCGCAACTAACCTTCAGCTGAAGCTTCACCGCAGGATCCTCATTCTCCCTATCCTTCCTATGATTCCCTCCCCGGCTACTTCCCTCCATAGACAAATACGAATTCGAGTAGGAATTCGAAAAATGGCGACCTCCCCGGTTACCCTTTCCCAACTCCTTATTAATCTGAACAATAGAATGAATACTCTGCTTCCCCAAATGCCCTAATGAATCATCCACAAAGGTATCAAACGACAAGAGTGTCACAAGCGGTCTAATCACGTTCTCCCGGGCAAAATCCTCCTGGGCCACGGGGTCATGCTTTGCCATCCTGGCAACCAAATTGGCAGCCAGGGTCTGAACCCTCATGGGGGAGTCACTAAGAACCTGCACAACAGCAGGCACACCAAGCTCACTCACAATCACTCTAACCCTATCCAAATCATTAGCCAAATGACACAAAGCACTAGCGGCAGCAATTTGAGCAAGAGGGGAAGTCCCTTCTTTGAAAAGCTTCAACAAAGGAGGCACCCCACATTCCTCAACTATGATCTTCTTATTCCTATCGTTATCTTGTGCTAAAGAAGCAAGTTCATTCGCAGCCTCAACTCTATCGTTTAATTGACCCATTTGAAGGGAAGCGATGAAAGACCATACCCAAGAGAGAATGGGGTCGTTGCTGGCGATCGGAGGGAGAGAGAGGACAATGCCACCGTCGGCGTCGAAGATGCTGAGGAGCCACTTCATATCGCCGACGGACGCGTCGAGGTGGGCGAGGACTTTCCGGAAATCGGCAGCGCCGACTATGGAGACGACGCGGTGGAGGATGCTCCGGCGCTTGCACTTGCGCACAAGGGCGAGGGCGCGGTCGAGATTCTTCGCCATCTCGGCAGCGACGCGGCGGATAGGACGCTCATAGAGCGGCGGCGCGGGGGCCGAAGTAGTTGTGGCGGTAGCGAAGCGGACGAGCGTTCGGAGCATTTGAAGGAGGCGATCGACCTGCTTCCACACCTCCGAGCACTCGTGTTTGAAGGAGTCGGCCTCGTCCACCGCCGAGCGAACTCGCTCCGCCACCATAATCGGGTACGATAACTCGTCCTCCACTCGCTTCTCCTCCGACGACGCCATCTCCGCCGCGCCGATTCTGCCACCAAGTCAGTGGACAAATAATGAAAGGTTTTTCTGGGGATGGTGTGTGTGTGTGTGCGCGCGTGGTATGAGAACGAGTCAACCGAGTCTACGCTGAGTCTGATAGAATCCGAGTCGGGAATTGGAACGGGCGTTTATGTTGTTGTTGTTCATTTGACACTTCTTGTTGTTCTGCCACGCATGTTTTTATGTTTTTGTTTGTCTGAACTCCTAACGTTACCAACGCAAGTAACTTCCTTCCCTCTTCTTCGCTTATTATTCTATTTATTTACGAATTATATTATTTTCCACTGTTGGACGTCAAATTAATATTTTTAATCCTTCATTTATAAATTGAAATGCCAAATTGATGTTTGTCTATTTTAGTTTATTTTCATCTTTTGTTTTACATTATGAGAAAAAAGTGTTTAGGTTTAATTTGTGTAAGAAGAAGGATTATTTTGCTAATTAGGGATTTAGGAAGAATATTGGAGTCAAATTGATTCGTACGTAACGTAACCTGCGTTCGCAATTCTGATTGTTTATTTACTCTGTCAAACACTGCGTTTCGCACTCGCTTTCCAGGAGCGTGCTTTTCCTGACTTTTCTAACATAACTTCTTTTGTTAATATAATGTTTTTTACTATATTTTATCTTTATTTGTTTTATCAACTATAATTGTATTTGTATTTGTATTTGTATTGCTTTAATTTATAAAAATATTATAAGGAGAAATTGTATTTGTATTTGTATTGCTTTAATTTATAAAAATATTATAAGGATCATTTCTCTTGTGCAACAATAAGGTATCACAGAGCGTTTGATATAACAAATTTTAGTAACGAGTACTATGAAGTTGTATTATTGTTGTCCAAGTTTGAAAGTGTCTATTTTTTTAACCTCGATATTCTATACTTAAGAATCAGAAATTAGTCTAATCCGAACCATGAAAATAGATTAAACTAAACCATACTTAGTTTGATCAAGTTTCATCTATTTAAAAAAATTATGTTTAATTTGTTACTATTCGTATACTTTAGACTTTGATATTTTTTGAGAATAACTTGAATTGTTTTTTTATATTTTTTTTAAATAAAAATATTTTTCTTAATATATTAAAATTAGTTTATGTTAAGTTAAAATTAAAATCAATTATATGCATTAGTTTCTAGATATTAGCTTCTAGGTAAACTAATTTATTCTTTTTTTAAGTTTTTCTTTAAAAACTTTCTCTCTCTATATATAATAATAATTTAAAATATAAATACAAAATTAACGTATCTATATGACTAGTAAACTTAGTATTTATGTTTACATGATTAAGTTAAGTTAATCCAATAAACATTAATTCATTATTTTTTAGAAACTGATTGTTTCTAAAACTTTAATAAATAAAAAAAGGGCCCAACCGGGTTCGAACCGGTGACCTCTTGATCTGCAGTCAAATGCTCTACCACTGAGCTATGGACCCCGTTATGTTCATTAGTTAAATAATTAACACTTTAACTTAAATAATTAACATATTAAAATATTTATTTTTTACAACTGTAATTTTTAATACTTTATCATTAAACAATTTACTCTTCCTTATACTTGCTATCATTATTATGAAACACATTTTGTTTCATCTCTAATAGTTACTAGGACTAGTTACTAGGACCACAGAAAAAGGGAAAAAAACAAAGAATGGACGTACGGAAATTACTATTTAAACGTGTGTACAATGGGTGGAAATAACTTTTTTTGTTTTTACATAATATGTGTCACTCATTTATATAATCGTATTTGAATAAAGTAAAACTACAATAACGAATATACTCTTTTTAAAAATATTTAAAATACAATATTCAAATTTAAAACTTCCAATTAAATTAAAGTAAATTTCACGTAAGTTCATACATCCTATTGTAATATAACTGGACTTAGAAGTCGTGTGATAACTTAAAGTCACAATGCCCTAAGAAAAAAGAAAAAAATAAATTAAAGTGAGGCTTCTAAAAATATTATAGAAGGAGTATTTTGAAAGGTCATAGCCAATTTTCACTTTCCTATTATCAAGTATTATTCCCACTCCAAGTTTATCAAATAGACAAAGACAAGTCATTGTTTCTCTTTCTTTTTAACATTTTATTATTATATGTTTATTAAAATCCTCCCGTTAAAATTTATTAAAATATTATAAATAAAACAAAATTTAAAAATATAATTATATATTTATATATTATGTATTTTTGTTTGGTATTTTTTAATGAAATAATATATTTTAAATTTAAAGAAAAGTTTGATGTAAGCAAAAAGTAATAAAATAATTATCGTTATCAATATTTTCATTTCTCGTTACACATAGAACTGGATAATTAAAATCTGCAAACTATTTGTTTACTTAAAAGTTTAAAAATTAAGTTGTTTATAAACTAAAGCGTATATGAAATTATTAACTACAGAATTAATTTGATATGTCCAATATTAAATTTAAATTTGTTGTATTATTTGATTCAAATATTCAAATATTAAATTATATCTAAAAATATGTTAAATATATTATTAAAAATAAAAAGATATTCATAATATGTATTCGTTATGAAGAAGAATATTTGACGCAGACTCCAAAATAGGAAAATAAATAAATAGGTGCAGAGGACATGACAGCCAACATCGCTGGCACATGCTTCACTCTTTCCCAACACTTCTATTACTTTTTGTTAACGTTCTTAACAGTGTAAAATATTTTCTACTTATTAGAAAATTTTAAATAACAATTTTTCGTGGATTCTTTTTTGTTTTAATCACAGAACAACGAGAATGGAATATATCCATGTCACCCTTTCTAGAAGCTCCCCAGAACCTAACACCTCACATACTTAACCTTCCAATTTAAGAATGCCCTTTAAAATAAGGGCCACCCAAATACACTTGCAGCCCCTTTTTTTCGCTGGCTTTTGTTGAACAAAGACATTTTCTGTACGCGGTCTAAATCTCATTTAATTTTTATTCAGTTCGCATAATTAAAATTAATGAACAATAATATATTCTATCAACTAAATATAATTTTCGATGCAGCATTAAAATATAGTAACTGCCATTTGGTTGAGACCACATTATTTTGAGCAGACATTTGTATATTATTAAATTAGTGTACCTGCGAAGGTCATCAAATCAAATTAAAATATAAAATATGTATAATATCAATTCGCTTAGCTACTAAGTTTGCCTTAAACTACACGTCTGTTCCCTAAATCCACAATTCTTGAGCCATCATAATCACACCAACTAATGATGGCTAAGCAGTGTTTAAAATAAAATTTAAAAAGTAGGGCCCAACCGGGTTCGAACCGGTGACCTCTTGATCTGCAGTCAAATGCTCTACCACTGAGCTATGAACCCTTCTTTATTTTATAATTTTTGTTATTTATTTATAAAATATATTTTCAATATCATTTTTATTTGATTATTTTATATATGATAATATACTTAAAATTAAAAAAAGAAAAACTTAAAAAAAGGGCCCAACCGGGTTCGAACCGGTGACCTCTTGATCTGCAGTCAAATGCTCTACCACTGAGCTATGAACCCTGTTTTATTATATAAATTTTGTTATCTATTTGTAAAATATTTTTTTAATATTTTTTTTATTTGATTGTTTTATATATGGTAATATACTTAAAATTTAAAAAATAAAGCTTAAAAAATAAAAGGCCCAACCGGTGGCCTCTTGAACTGCAGTCAAATACCCTTCCACTAAGCTATCGATCCTATTTTCCTATATAATTTTCGTCACTTAATTAAAAAAAAAATAAACTTTTTAGAACATGTATAATGTTGTTATATATTTGAACAAAAAAAGCTGAAAATAATATTGAATTTATGCCATGAAACAATTTAACCTCTATTATAATTATATTCTAGACAATTTTGGCTTAGATTTAATTATTTCATCTTATAAAAAGATTTGTTAAAGCAAACTTTCATGGCAAGGTACAGTCTTAAAACAAAAATTTAAAGTCTTATATAAGATATTAAATCTTATTGGATAACAAATGTTATTTTTCACATGTTATAAACCTGTATAATTCTCTTTGAACAGTTAACTCAATTCCAAGAAATATTATTTAATCTGGCCATTATCTGTCATATTATTTATATTTACAGATTACTCTGATCTTAGAAATTTAAATTATTATGGGCCATGGCTTTTAATTGCACACAAACTAAGTGAAAGAGTTTTGCCAATTTGTACTAGCGATAAGATTCCATTTGTTTAAGAAAGAATAAAGGTAAATTTGATACTATTTATTCAGTACTAGCCTTTTGTAAATATATGAAAGTGCAAACAGTGTACTGTATATGAGAATTTATTTAATCCATCACTTTCTGCAGTTTCTGACGAAGGAACGTCGCATCAAAGATATCAGAGGAACCAATAAAGCAGTATCATTTTCCAATTACATCATCACATGCATCACCTAAATTATTCTTAAAAATATCCATGTGGACCCCAAGAAACTTTGTTATTATCGATTTGTAAATTAAATTGATAACCCACTTAGGTATAATAAGTGATGATAAACACAATCGAATGTTTCAAGCTTTGGTCCTTTTAGAGCTTGGCAATCACCCCATTTTGAATTGGCTTCGCAGTCATGCTATTCTCTTTATCATCCAAATCACTTGCACTCGGGGGAACATCTACAGCTGGCGAGCAATTGAAAAACCCATGTGGCTGCATCATAAATACCAGGATAAAATTAATTCCAACACTATGAATAGAAAATTATCCTTTTTTTTTTTGAAAGAAAAACAACTTTATTGGATTCTGAAAATTGCTCCATATTCTATCTAAGATGAACTCAAGTTTTGGATTAGGAGATTTCAAATGAGATTCATACTGAAGAACAATACTGAAGTTTCAACTTAGGAAATAAGCGTGTTATAAATAGTTCAATATGAATCCCACTCTATTTTTACATAGAAGGAATGGCAAGGAAATAAGTTAATTTTGAGTGGAATACCATAAGCATAAAGCCAATGCGTTCCACTGGCATAACTGGCCAGTCTTCTAATCGGGGAATGTGTGTCACACCAAACACGTACCTGGAATATTTCACCATGTCAGATAGCATGTACAAATGATTAAAAGAATAAGTCAATGATATCTTAATCAGACAGTCCTCTCATGAGGACGTGATGGGAAAAATTTTGTGATCCCTAAATGTGTATTGTATATGTAAGATATGTTAGAAATAACTCAAAACTGTACTGTGTATAAATATGTTTATTTATTTCACATAATATACGTAATTCCTATCATTCTTCTACATGCATGCATAGTTTCTATATGGTATTAAGAGCCAGAACGGTTTAGTGGGGGGTCTTCCAGTCCGTGAGTTGAGAAGTGGTTCTCTTGTTTGTGATTCTGCCAGACTGTGTGTGGCGTGTCAGGGTGTTTTTGTGAAGCATGTGTGAAGTTCAAAGAAACCTATAGCGATTCTTCAAGAAACGTTCAAAAATCATGGCTGGACTTGGTGGATTGATTCCTGGAGGGTTGCCCATGTTCGATGGAAGTTGTTTTGATGATTGGAAGATCAAAATACGCGCGGTATTTGGATTCCAAGATGTGGCCGAAGTGATCGAAGTTGGCGTCGTCGATCCCGGTAACAAGGCATCAGACGAAGAGAAGAGGAATTACAAACATATGCAGAAGATGGATAGCAAAGCCAGGTATTTCCTATATCAATGTGTGAATTCTGAGATCTTTAACAAAATTTCGGCTAAAGAAATATGGGAGATTCTTATCAAGACTTACGGAGATAGTGACAAGCACAAGCGAGTGAAGTTGCAGGCCCTACGTAGAAGCTTTGAGTTCTTGATAATGGAAGACAACGAATCTGTGGCGAGTTACTTCAACAAAGTTCAGAGTGTGGTTAACGCCATGAAAAGCTGTAACGAAACATTGTCTCAAGAACACATGGTAAACAAGATTCTTCGTTCTTTGCATCCAAAGTTCGACCATCTTGTTATCACAATTGAAGAAACGAAGGACATCGACAAGCTGAGTATTCAAGAATTACAGCACTCGTTGGAGGCTCACGAACTGCGCATGAGTGATCGCAAATCGTATCAGGAGTTGGTTCTTCAAGCAAGAACTTCATCGAAGTCAAAGAAAGATACCAAGAAGGGTCACAAATCCAAGAAGAAGACTGATCCAGAGTCGAAAGATGGGAATGAGAGTAAAGACAAGGTGTTTGGCAAAAAGCGAGTGAAATGCTACAACTGCCAGAAGTATGGCCACTTCGCACGCGACTGCTGGCATGGTGATGGAGCGAAAAACAAACCCAAGTCTCAGTCCCAGGCAAATCTCGCACAAGAAGAGTCGTCCGATTCTGAAGCTGTCTTACTCATGGTTCAGACCAAGAACGAAGACAATGATGATGACGCATGGTATCTTGATTCCGAGTGTTCTACCCATATGACTGGCCGGAGGGAGTGGTTTGTGAAATTGAGTAGTGAGACTCAAGAACGGGTGCGATTTGCAGACGACAGTTGTTTGCATGCATAAGGGAATGGACAGGTCGTGCTAAGAAGCTTCGAAGGAGAAGAAGTCATAGTCGACGACGTCCTGTATGTCCCTGGGTTACGAACCAATTTGTTGAGTCTTGGCCAATTAATGCAAAAAGGGTTCAAGATGGTTCTGGAGGAGAATTCCCTACGGGTCTATGATCAAACAAAGAAGTTTGTCATTTGTGCTGCACTATCATCCAATCGTACGTTTAAGGTAAAAATAACTACGTTAAACCATAAGTGTTTTGCAGCTGTAGTGAACAGAGAAGAGTGGTTGTGGCACCTACGCTTTGGTCACTTGAACTTCAGAAATTTGAGTGAACTGAGCGTTAAAGGAATGGTTGAAGGGATGCCTCGCGTGTCTGTGCCAGAAGAAGCGTGTCATGACTGTGTGCAATGCAAGCAAACGAAGAGCAAGTTCAGCAAATTCGTTGCCACCAAAACAACGAAGGAGTTAGAACTGGTATATTCTGATCTTTGCAGACCATTGCCTGTGAAAACACCTGGGGGCAGTCGGTACTTTGTGACCTTCACGGACAACTACACCAGGAAGTTGTGGACGTTTTGCCTAAAGCGAAAAAACGAGGTCTTTGACACATTCAGGAGGTTCAAGACTCTCGCTGAAAAACAGAGTGGTTGCATGATAAAGCGACTACGGTCTAATGGAGGAGGTGAGTATAACTCACTGGAGTTTCAAAACTTCCTGGCTGAAATGGGAATCACACACGAGGTTACACCGCCTCACACACCGCAACATAACGGAACCGCTGAGAGGAGAAACAGAACTCTCCTCAACATGGCTCGATGTATGCTCAAAAGTAAAAACGTGCCTATGTATATGTGGGGAGAAGCAATTGCAACAGCAACCTATATTCTAAATAGCACACCTACGAAGAGGGTGGAAGGAGTTACACCAGAAGAAGCCTGGTCAAAACAGAAGCCAGATGTCAAGCATCTGAGAGTTTTTAGTTCCCTGTGTTTCCATAAAGTGTCTGAAGTGCAGCGAACCAAATTAAACGACAAAGGAAAGCCTATGGTGATGATTGGTTATCACACTACTAGAGGGTATAAGCTGTTTGACCCTGAAACCAAGAGTGTAACTATTAGCAGAAATGTAGTTTTTGATGAAGCCTCTAGTTGGGAGTGGGTGACGAATAAGGTGAATGAGGCAGCAGAGGTGGTCCCAGTTATTGCGCTAGAACCCGAAGATGATGCAGCAGATTCTGGTGAGATTGAACCCGAAGATGATGCAGCAGATTCTGGTGAGATTGAATCCGAAGATGTTCAGCAACTTCGAAGATCCCAGCGTCAAGGACAACAACCAAATCGTTTCAGAGATTATGAAATGTTTGGTGTTGTTACTGAAGAAGGAAACCCAGTGCATTTTGCATTGGCAGCAGAGGCGGAGCCCGTGGAGTTTGAGGATACTGTGCATGATGAAAAATGGAGAAAAACGATGTGTGAGGAGATAAAGTCCATTGAACGTAATGGAACGTGGAGATTGGTTAATCTTCCACCGCATAAAAGGCTCATAGCACTGAAGTGGGTATTCAAGGTTAAAGTCAATCCCAAGGGAGAAGTGATAAGGCATAAAGCCAGGTTAGTGGCTAAAGGATATTTGCAAAAGGCTGGGACTGATTTTGGAGAAATATATGCACCCGTTGCTAGGCTTGATTCAATCCGAGTGATCATCGCTATTGCAACATTAAACAAGTGGAGAATGCATCAGCTAGATGTAAAAGCAGCTTTTCTAAATGGGTTGCTTGAAGAGGAGGTATACGTAACTCAACCGCCAGGATTTGAGGTTAAGGATGATAAACTGAAAGTTTACAAGTTAATCAAAGCTCTTTATGGCTTGAAGCAAGCCCCACGGGCTTGGAACAAAAGAATTGATAAGTTTATGCAGCAGATTGGTTTTGAAAGATGCACCACAGAGCAAGGATTATACGTGAAGTATTGGATCAGCAATGGTCAAGAAGAAAAGTTACTTGTATGCCTCTACGTGGATGACATGCTTGTCACAGGAAGTAAAGCGAAATATATCAAGCAGTTCAAACGTCAGATGACCACTGAATTTGAAATGAGTGACTTGGGGGAACTCAATTATTTTTTGGGAATTGAGTTTATGCAGACAGATCATGGAATGTTAATGCACCAGACGAAGTATGCAAAAGACCTGTTGAGCAGGTTCAAGCTTCAAGACTGCAACATAGCAACTACACCAATGGAAACAGGGTTGAAGTTGGGAAAGAATGAAGATGAGGAACCTGTGGATGAATCAGAATTCAGGAAAATGGTTGGGTGCTTGAGGTATTTGTGTTGTACAAGACCTGACCTAAGTTTTGCAGTTGGAATAGTGAGTAGATTCATGCAGGAACCTAAACAAACCCACATGAATGTTGTAAAACGTATCATGCGTTATGTGCAAGGGACAAAGAACCTTGGCTTGCTGTTTCCAAATAAAGGGTGCGAAGGAAGTGTTGAACTGAAGGGATACGCAGATGCTGATTGGTGCGGAGATCAGATTGATAGGAAGTCCACTGCTGGATACATATTTTTCCTCTGTGGGTCACCTGTCTCATGGCATTCCGTGAAAGAACCTGTTGTAGCTCTTTCCTCTTGTGAAGCAGAATACATTTCTGCTTCTCAAGCTGCGTGCCTAGCTGCATGGTTAGCAATGCTCTTAGAAGAGTTAAAGGTGAAGATGAATAGCTGTCCAAAATTAATGGTGGACAATAAATCTGCTATAGACTTAGCAAAACATTCTGCTGCTCATGGTAGGAACAAGCACATTGAAACTAGGTTCCATTTTTTGAGGGAACAAGTCAATCAAGAGAAGCTTAAAATCGTTTACTGTAAATCTGAGGTTCAGTTGGCAGATATATTTACCAAAGCCTTAAAAGGGGAGAGGTTTAGGTATTTGAGACAATCTATTGGAGTTGTAAAACCAGTTTGACTTAGGAGGTGTGTTAGAAATAAGTCAAAACTGTTTTTCTTTCTGTTTTCTGTTCTGTGTATAAATACGTTTATTCATTTTACATAATATTCGTAATTCCTATCATTCTTCTGCATGCATGCATAGTTTCTATAAGATATACATATATAAAGCAAAGATTCTATACTTGAAAACATGTGCAAATTATAGATAAACTTTTCTTTTTCATTGACATAGTCCACACAATATCCCAAAAACAGACTACATATGTGAAACAGAAACAAGTGAACAAACCAAAGAACTATATCAGCTTCCTCCAGTGACCTATTTTGCTGAACCCAAGTAGCCAAACCCTCTCCAACACGTGGATTCTGATTAGGAAACTCTCCCCCAGGATGCATTTCATGGGGAACGTATGGAGTGACCCAAAGATTGTGCTTCAAGAAAGCAGCTCTCCTCAGAAACTTGGCCTCTGAACCAGCTAAGGGTAAACAATTTGAACCGGGTACTAACTTGTATCCTGTTAGCTGTCCGGTTCGGTTTACCGTCCTGGTGTTTCTCACCTAAAACAGGAAATTCATGTCAAGAAAAACTGGGTAGAATATGTTAAATAGTATTTTTTTAACAAGTAAATAATCCCAGCTTTGAGAAATATAACTGCAAGAAAAACTGAACATGCCCGTAGCTGGAAGGAAAATTTTCACTTGGGAAGCTTGAATAACACTCGGAAGGTAGAAGCAACAGATTATGATAATATGTAGGAATTTTACATACATGCGTAGAATAAGCATCATGCATAGAGAAGAATAGAAACAGCAGTCAAATTTGAAAAATCCATTGATTGTCTGCAGCACAATAACTACACTTGCAGTAACAAGTGAAAATATTTTCCAAGAAAAAAATTGGCATTTTATATCGGTTGCATTTCTTCTTCGTTCAAGTGGAAGGAACTTACAATCCAATGTCGGGCAGATAAAGGGTTACAATCACGCATTGCCTCCAATTCTGATTTAAGCAGTTTTTCCTCTGCATAAAACGCATTGTTGTGAACGTTATCGTTTCCTGGCTCTTCAACTTTGACATCCACCTCAACAACCTGGAGAGGGAGGAGGAGGACTCTGTTACTACTTTCTCGTATTATTTGCGAACATACTTCCTGAATTTTAGAATTTTGATGGAAGTGAAACACCTTTTCTTCCCTTTCTTCAACAGGGAAACATAGAATGGTCTATAAAGTTATAAAAGAAGTTCAACAAGATAAAATAACAGGAAAACGAAGGAGAGTAAAACAAGAACAGAAACTTCATGCAGACATGGGTATCTATATCAAAGATCATGTTATTTAGTTAATATGTCATTATCAAAAGGGATACTAATATGTCCTCTAATTTTTGGAATTATTCAAAAACACCATTCATTCTGATGCTTATCCTTCTGTTCCTGAATGCAAGCTACATAATTGTAGATTTTCATGCAATTAATATTTTTTCTAAAGCATAAAATTTGAGATGAGCGATAAGCAAATGACACTGGCTCAAAATATTTAAGTATGATTCATCCAAAATATTCCTTTCAACAATGAAGATTTTGCCAAAAGAAAACTATAGCTGTACACTAACCTGATTAAATGCTTCACCAGGCTTGCAATCAACAGCCATGTCCATACGAGCAACAAAAAAGTGTTGGTGGACAGGCGCATATAATCCAGGTGCAATAGTTGTGCCATATTTTCGAGTTTCACCAGGTGGCAATGCTCCTAAACTGAGAATTCCCGTGAGCTTGACCTCAGCTTCTATTTTTCCATCCTGAAAAAAGGAAGGAGGAAATACAAAATCATAGACACAACCAATTATTATGCTTATGTTTGAACATTGAAATACACCACAAAGAGGTAGGATAAACAGTACAGAACATAGCAATGAAAGTCAGAAAAAACATACTAAGTGAAAGAATAGATTTATATAATCATGCAGTTGGGATGAAATTTTTCTTTCTTTCTGGTTCAACTGCTAGGGTACACAGAAAAACCCTCATATTGAAGCCAACACTCTCTACTCACATTTAAAAAACTGGGACACCCACTTTCATGTGTTTAAAGCTTTAAATGTATCTTTGTATATATCACTACTAGGCCCCAAACACTGCTGAAATTGTACCAATCTTATAAGACATACTCAAATAAGTGAATCCAGACAATAACTTGCCTGATAGAAGTGCCAGAAAAATCCATACTCATAGTTAGCCACAGTGCATATAAAAGATACTGTCAGCCTTCTAGACCGTCGAACTTCAGCTAAACCTGTTCTCCAGTCTTGATGCTTCCATAAAATACCATGATCCTCTTCATGCAAGCAAACACAATTCTCTATTGTTTCAACACCTCCATTAAAGTTTGTGAAGTGAGCATCAAAATATTTGATATATCCTAAGCAATCACAACCCTGCAATAAGGCATCTTGCAAAACAAATTTTAATTTCATCTACCTTGAGAAATGAGATTAATTTGACTAGATTAGAAGAAAATTCCTTGACCTTCTTGAGAGAATGAGCATTTTTACCCAGACCATCTTCTCCAGCATCAAAAGCATTCTTCCTGTAGTGAGGATCGTTTGGATCTCCATAAGGAACCACCATCTCAACAAAACTCAATCTGTGGGCCACAGGCCTTCTTCCTCGACTTCCATCAATATAGGCTACCGAATAAATAACCAAACCTTCCCTAGGAGTAAAACCAATACGAAAGTTCCACTGCCCGCACACATTAAAAAAAAAAAAAAATTACTTGTACAAGTTTGCAATATGTTTTGTATGAATTAGCTTGGAGAAAAAGTACAGATACAGACAATCACCTTTTGCCATTGAATGAAGTGCCCGTTCACACGAAAACTTGGACCTTCAGGCTGAATAATCTGTAATGGCTTTACATCACTTCTATCAACTCCTCCCCGGGTTTCACCAGAAGTATAATTTCTCAACGGATCAGCAGGTGGAAGAGGGATCAGTTTACGATCTTCAAACTCAAGAATTTCCATAGTTTGCATGTTAACAAGTATATAGATTCCTTCAACTGGTCGAGCATAGCCATTTTCCATGGGGCAGTCACTTTCAGTTCTACAAAATATTAATGGTTTAGCAAGTCTGAGGCTAGGAGCATCTGCTTCACTGTGATATCCAACACACCTGCAAGTTTCAGCTCCATTAGAAAGAACAAATCAATGAATACCTTCATATAAAATGTGCTAAAATCATCTCAAATTAGCCACTAACCAGGCATCTACCATCACAAGATCCATGTCTTCAATCCCTCTTCTCTTCATTGCTTCTCGAAATGGAGGGAAGTCCTTCACAACAGCTTCACATTCAGCATATTCCACAGCATCCTGTACATATAGAGTGAATACCACAATGCTATGCTTATTTGAAACTAATAGAGATGAGGACTAACAGGTCAGTGTAGAAGTTGCACTAATTTTACATATTAGGTATTGTACTTGTTAAAAGTATGGGCTTTAGGTTCAGAGGAAGGAAGAGATATACAAGAGAATCAAACAGTAATATCTATGAATTGAGACATATTACTATGTATGGATAAGTTCAATATGTTCATCAAACTTAGAGCACTAATCTTTATTTATTTATACTAATCATATTCCTAACCAATTTGGAAAACAAACTATGATAAGGAAATATTGTAACCAATCCCAAGTGATGACAAAAAAATAAGAAAACTAATTCTAGAAGATAATCTATTATATCAGATGATAGGATATTTTTCATATACTTATTTTAATAGTTCCGAGTACGTTTATTTAATTACAAGCATGTGCATAACAAAAATGTTAGATTATTAACATTTATTTGATTCTATTCTAAATGTTTTTATGCAAGTTTTAGCAAAGGCGTTTAAATTAGGAGAGCGAAAAAAATCTGTCTCGCATAAAAAATGTGCAAAAACGAGGGTCCAGTTACCAATAAGCATGGGGATGAAGAAGACTATAAATGTTAATAAAACAGCAAAACTTTCTGAAAGCATAAAATCAAGAAAACACATTTACCATTGGTGGCTGAACATTCGGAACGACTTTAGAAGAAATAACTTTGCCCCTATGGTGACCACCTCGAGTTGCTGCATGCACTTCCCTCAGTTCCACAATCCATATGCTTGTCTCATTTGACCTTTTGTTGTAAACAACCAATCGTGCTTTCCTTGGGGGAAGTTTAGTAGGAATCACAGGTCCTCCTTTAGTCCTGGGAAGCAATGAAGGCTGGAAAGGAGGGAAGAAATATGCATCTGCTAATGCAACAACTTGCTTATCTGGTTCTACCAAGACTACTTCAACAAATCGCATGCTATCCCTCACCTAAGAGAATAATAATAAAAAAATTTGCACATGGTAAATCTGGGGAAACAATCGTTTATTTTTCAAATGTTATCATTAGGCGGGAAAAAGTAAAAGATGATTTCTTCGATATAATTTCAACCAAACACACTTCATAAACATACAAACACAAGCATTTGGAGAAGTTACAGAATGTCAAACATACTAGGTAATAAATTTAAGCTAAATCTAAAATGAGAGAGAGAAAAATATCATAAGCACTATACCTCAGGTGTTGCCCCAGCAGCCCGAACAGTAGCTACAGCCACTGATATTTCAGCAGCTGACAGTGGATCCAAAGGGTGGCAGGTTTGAGCTCTCATCATAACTGGGATACCTATGCCAGGAAGTAAGCAAAATGAATATTTTTGATAGAAGAAGAAATTTCATTGAAAATAAAAGAGAACAACTAGGGAGAGAATATACTAAATCCTATGAATAAAAAAGACTAAATACATCAATACAAAAAATTCAAGAAAAACAGGGAAAGAAGCCGAGTTAGAAGTATTTAAGATATAAAACCAATCATACACCTAACACTATACAGCATTTTAAATGAAGAAAAGCTTCCAACTCTCGGAAAATACAAGTAGCGACACCATTTGTTTCAAAGAAGCCGAAGACATCTACCACTGATCAAAATATTGAGCAAACATTATCCTTAAAAATATACATGTTTCTCTCCAACTACACCCACTAAGGGACTACATAAACTACACAATACACACTGCCATAAATAACCCATTATTTAGGACTCCACACTATCAATAGGTCACTGCAGCAAATGTCTGAACATGTGCGTCAATGAAAAACAGAAAAGGCAGTCAATTCAACTAAGCGCTCCCGAAAAACAAGTTAAATAAGTAGTAAGAAATTGACTTACAGATAAAAGAAAAGCAGATATGTTTATTGACCCAAAACAAGCGAACATGCAATTTTTATTGTATCAAGTGTGCTGATATGTTTAGTAGCTAAGAATACAGAGGGGAAATGATATTCAAATTTACATGAAAATTATTTTAATCAACTATTAGTATAGAGGAAGATGAAAATAATAAAAGTGAAATAAATAATTCAATTAAACTTTGATTTGAAGTATACTAGTTTTTTTTTTTTCTCAAGTAGAAGAAAGAAAGTTACTTATTCTTCATCATAATATTTAAGCTTAATTTCATTTTTAATTCCTCTGTTTCAACTTATGTGCCATCTTGGTTCTCTTAGTCTTTCGGTTCTCGTAGTTTCTCAATTATTAAAGTTATGTCATATAATTTTCCATCCAAGAATTATCAGCAATGTAATAGAAATGTGATATGACATTATTGTATAGATTAGTGAACTAAAAAAAGTAATAAATACGTAAATAAAAACAAAATATACATTTAAAACATGATGAAAAGATTTTTTTAAAATTTTTATTTAATATTTTACAAAATGCTTTATTTTATATTCGTACACACTGATTTATCCTTGTTATGTTACACACTCATTACATCCTAGGAGACTTAATTATGATTTTAAGTGAGCAAATACAACTAGTACAAATTTAGATAAATTTTCTTACCAACTTTATTACTGTTATCCAATTTTAATTGAAATTTCAGATTAGTAATCCGTATATTAAAAGGCTTACCATAAATTTATTTATCTTAAAATTGGTTCTTGTTATTTACCCCTTCCATTTATACAAATATATCTTCTAATTTTATATTTTTTTCTATACATAATTTTTTTTTTCATAAAGGAGTTTCTGGAACTGTTAAAATTTAACACATTCCAAAAAGTAGTTTTTAGAGGCTAATTTTCTGAAAAAAAAAAAAAAAAAGGGATGGTGAAGAGAGATGATTAGATGCAATTGGTGGGGAGAATCCTATGGTTGCAAGAAGAAGGAATTTAGTGGGCGATGTCGTGGATAAAGTTAGAGATGCAGATATAGTATTTGTAGGAACATAAGACCATGAAGGGGTGGGTGAGATTGAGGATTTGTCAATGGCTTGGAAGTCGAATGACTAGAAACAAAAGTAGAATTTAAGAGGTGTACGAGGTAGCTAGCAATCAAAATGCCGAAAAAGGTAAACCCCCTCGTTCACAATGAAACCAAATCACGTTGTTGGTGTCATTAAAACAATTCTTGCAAACACAAGGAAAGTGGTAAACCGGAAAGAGTGGTAGAAGAGGGACAACTTGTATTCTATCCATAAAAAGAAAATAAGAGTAAAATTAAGAAAATTACTCATGGTCCCTTAGAGAGAAAGTGATACAATAGATAAAAACGATACATACGTATGTGATAAGAAAAAAAAATTCCAAAATTGTCAATTAAATGTATCTATCTAGATGCTCATATAATATGACTAATAAAAAAAATCAACAGATGTCAACAACGAACTATTACATCAGTAGAAAGAAACCATAGTGATCTTCCCTAATCCATACATGACATAATTATTTTTTTCGAAACTAAAAAACTCGGAGGAACAATGACACATGGTAATCAAGAATTATTAACTGATAACTTTTGAAATTAGGAGAGAGGAAGGTGAAGGAGCGGATACCTTTAGCGGTGGAGGTGGTTTTGGGAGGAGGATCGGGGAAGGAATCGACGGAGGGAATGAGGGCGGCGACGGAGGGTCTGTTTCGGAGGGGATCGGCGGTGGGGTGGGTCCAAGGAGAGGGAAGTGCGGAGGAATTAGAAGCAGTGGGAATGTTACTGAGATTGTTTGGCGTCGCTTTTTCCTGAGCTGTGGCCATTGTAAAGGGTTAGCGAGCTCACCGTAGAAAACTCCACCGCAGTAGTATTCCAGTGACATACAGCAACGACTCACTGCACAACACAACGCACCCCGTCACCCCACACCACAACAACAACCACCTCAAAACTCTTGGCACCACTGTTGTGCTTCAAGATGGTGGGTAAGGCGATATGGTTCTGGATTCCTTGAATGAACAATTGAGACGCGTTACCACTGCTGCTTTAACGTGAAGTTTGAAAGTAACGGAAAGTGCGCTTGGTTGATAAAGTTAATTGTCTCTTCCTTTCCTCCTCTTTGGTGTCGGTGTGACCTGACAGAAAAGTGGCAACAAAAGTCTATGATGTTTGGGACATTATGGCCATTCAGCAACCAACAAATATGCCCCAACACAGACTCCAAGAGGAAGTGGCACGTACAACGAGGTGCAACTTGAGTTACCTATACAGCTGGATGTAGCGTATAAATTTCATTAATAAATACACGATTAATGCAACAATTTAGAAAACGTTTTTTTTTTTTTATGTATGTTTTTATTCTTGTAATTTCCTTTTTTAAGTTTCTCTTTAATCAATTTTTTAATCCTTGCACATTTTAAGATATATAAGTTATCATATTTCCTTTCATGTCATTTTGTTGGATGTTTTCATAATGATAGGTACTGTTTTTTTTTTTTAATGTAGGAAGAGACATAATGGAAACAAGTTTAAAAAAATAACTTTTTTTAGATAGTTATTAAAAATTATATAAATAAACAATTACAAAATTATGTACATTGCATATTCATATTCAAATAATGTTGATATATTAAAAAAATTATTTGACTAATAATTAAATAATTATAAAATATAAAATAATAATTAATATTGATCGATAATAACAAATAATTATGAAAACTAATAATATAATTGTACATTATTATTTAAAACAAATATAAAATACAATGAAAATAGAATAATAATTAAAGGAAAGATTACTAAAATTATAAATCTATGCACACATGCTCTTCAAACAAATAATTATAATCTTATCCATCTTTTGCATCAAATCCTCCAGGTTCAGATCATTCAATCACCTCCATTCAAGAACATGAACAACCTGGGAGAGACGAAGATGTGAGAGCAAGCCAAAAAGTCGTCTAACATGTGATGGGTGAGCACACAAATGATTATAACACCGAAGCATAAGTTGCTCGTCATTTAGGTACAAGTTTTCAAATGATCGATTATTTTGCCAAAATGATCGATCACTTTTCCAAAACCTCGACACTTTAGATAGCGGTTCACCTGGAACCCCTATCATATGTTCACATATGATAGCGGTTCCAGAATAACCGCTATCTAAAAGCTCCGAATTTGAATTTATTTTAATGTATAATTATATATATATATATATATATATATATATATATTCTAAAATATAATTTAACATTTTGAATTCGAAAGGTTTTCTCTAATAACAAATTAAAAAACATAATATTCAAAAAAATATTTTAAAATTCAATCTCGGGTTGTATTTCGCTCGAGCGATTATACTCTCGCTCGAAGCGAAATACCATCCTGATCGATCATAATTTGAAATGATCGATCATAATTGGAGGATATCATAGTGGTTCCTCTTTAACCGCTATTTAAAGTATATATAAGATAGCGGTTATGGTTTAACCGCTATTACAAGTTATATTTCGCTTGAGCGACATTAAACTCGCTCGAGCGAAGACACCTGCACATAATTTTCATCCCCGGGTTGTTTTTCGCTTGAGCGAAACTGATCTCGCTCGAGCGACTAGCAAAGTATGATCTCGCTCGATTTATTTTAATCGATTAAAACACGTTTTAATCGATTAAAACCACTTTGGAAGTCAGGATGATCGATCATAATGTAATTATGACCGATCAGAGTTGAGTTATGATCGATCAAATTGAATTATGACCGATCAGACTTATTTCAATCGATTAAAACAAATTTCAATCGATTAAAATGACTTGAAAATTTTTGAACGAGTTTCAATCGATTAAAACGAATTTCAATCGATTAAAATGACTTAGAAAAAATTGCATGCGAGTTTTTAATCGATTAAAACTTTTTTGTATCAGTTAAAATAACTTGAAAAGTGTTATAAGAAAGTTTTAAAGCTGAATCAATCGATTAAACCGCGAATCAATCGATTAAATCACTCTTAGAAAATGTTTGTAAAAAGTTTTAACTGATAAAAACTTGGTCGTATCGACTAAAACAATTACGTTAAAGAACAAGAACGCATTAATGGGTTGAAAGGACATTTAACAGATTATAACGACTATTTCAACAGATTAAAACAAACTTTGAACAGATTAATTAATGCGGTTTTTCGAAAACTCTTTTATAAACAGAATTGCTTGGAACTTTTATCATATCAGTTTTTAAAAAACAAAGCAATCAATTTATTGGGTGAACCAAGTATAACAATTGCTTGGAACCCAGCTGGAATTTGGTTGAGACTGGACGTAGTCCTGGTATTGGGTGAACCAAGTATAACATTGATTATATATTTAAAAGAAAAAACAAAATTAAAAGTGTTTGTAATTGGAAACAAATTTAAAAAATTAACTTTTTTTTAGATAGTTATTAAAAATTATATAAATAAACAATTACAATATAATTTTCTACTTTGAGAATTAATAATATAATTAAACATCAAAATTGAGAATACTCTTATACATTTTGAACTCTTTTGGATAAATTTTGTTTCCCTAATTTTTGATAAAGTTAATTTTAATATTTAAATTTATTAGAGGTTAAGGTTTAACCTCTATTATAAGCTCCCTTTAAGAATGGTTCTTAAAGTGTTTCATCAACTCCCTGTTGCTTCTCAATTCCGATTGAATCGGTGCGGAGTCGGATTAAAGAAAGTAGAGTCGGATGTTATTGCCTTTGCCCCCACGCCGACTTGCTCTCTAATCCCACTCGCTGATTGGATTGAACTGAAAAAGCGGAGCTTAGGTTGGCTACGACAACTCTCAAAGCGTGAGCTCATAAGCCGTATTTCGCTCGAGCGACTATATCTCGCTCGAGCGAAATACGATCCCGATCGATCATAAGTTGAAATGATCGATCATAATTGGAGGATATAATAGCGGTTCCTCTGTAACCGCTATCTAAAGTATATATTAGATAGCGGTTCCTGTGGAACCGCTATCATATACAATCATATTTTAATTTCTTGAGTCACGGGTTGTGTTTCGCTTGAGTGACTATATCTCGCTCGAGCGAAATTTGATTCTGATCGATCATAACGTGAAATGATCGATCATAATTGGATGATATAATAGCGGTTCCTCTGTAACCGCTATCTAAAGTGTATATTAGATAGCGGTTAAGGTTTAACCGCTATTATAAGCTCCTTTTAAGAACCTTGTTGCGTCTGGAGTTGTGTTTCGCTTGAGCGACTATATCTCGCTCGAGCGAAATTTGATATAATAGCGGTTCCTCTGTAACTGCTATCTAAAGTGTATATTAGATAGCGGTTAAGGCTTAACCGCTATTAGAAGTACTGTTATAATAGCGGTTAGGATTTAACCGCTATCATATATTGCAGGGTAACTGCGTCTTTTCATTACTTTCATCTCTTTTCTTCGCACCTCAGCGAAGAAACTCTCTCTCTCATCTCCCCCTTTTCCTCGCCTGCAATTCGTCGCAAATCAGTTCAACCAAACGTGTGTGAATGTCGTGTTTCTGTCTTCGTGAATAGTATTTCGTCGCAAATCAGTTCAAAGAAACACAGCGTTAGTGATTTAAGATTGAATGATTGAATTAGTAGTTATTTGAATCTGTTTTTTTTTTTTTTTTTATGAACGACACAAACCTATAAACCTAATGAAAAGCCTATCACCTACCCTTGTCTCGTTCTTCTTTCTTTTTGAATCTGTATTTTTTTTTAATATTATTGTATTCAAATAAGAAAATAATATAGTCGTGTTAATTTTAGTTTCATGATTTTTTTGAATATTTTATTGGATAATAATTGAAAGTAAAATACAACTAATTGATAATAACGAAGGAATGAGATGTGAAAAATTGTTTAATTGTTTATTTTAAAAAATAATATGATTTACATTTTGATATTTTAAAAATTAAACAGAAATTATTATACACATTTCAAATATTTTAAATGATATTTAATATAAATTTCACTTTAATTTTTTTGTATCACGTAAAAAGAAAAAATATGATAATTAAGAATCACTTAATTTATCGATGGTCAAACTAATATTATTGATTAAGTTATTTATTTCAAATATTAAATGAATAACAAATCGTAAAGATACTTCATTTCAATTAATGCTTTTAAAACTAAACATACGTCTCATAACAATGATGAATAAGCACAGTCTCTCACGTTTCATTCTTGTGGCATTTATTGCATTGCAAGTTTGTTTAGTCATAAACTTCAAATAATGATAAACGGTCACGTGGATATACACATATAGAGAGTGTTTCACGTTAGGATGTGATTTTTTTATTAATAGTTTTATTTATAAATAATCAAACTATTACATTATAATTTGTTTTATTGGTATATTTTAGATTTTAGATTTATCTTTTCTTACTTTTGTCCTTTTTTTCTTTAAAAGTGATTTAAATATTTATATAAATTGCTTTTAAAAAAAGATAATAGGCATAAGCAAAAAGATAAATATTTAAAAAATGTGATCATGAACTAGATAAGTTTTCAATTCAGTTAAAAAAATTACAAAAGTTAAAAGGAGTTTAAATCTATCATATATATATTTGTCAATATTAAAAGATAATAAAATAAAAAAGTAAAAAAAATTGATTACAATTAAAGATATATAAATCATATTTATTGAAGAAACTTATATAAAAAAAATAATGAAGATATAGATAAGACCAAAAAATAATAAAAATATATACGAAGAATCACCTCGAATAGCCATTAAAAAATTAATTTTACTACCATTCAATAAAAAATAAAATAGATAAAAATAATAAAAGAAGAAA